AATAAATTAAAAGTCTGCCAAAACGCAATGGAGTATTTTAGGTATAAAAAGAAGAGATAGAGTAAAATTACAAGAAATTAAAAAGAAAACAAAATTCAAAAATGTACACACAATCTACAGACAGCTTAAATGGCGTTGGACCGGACATATGTTGAGAGAAAGTACAGAAAAATGGACAAGGATAGTAACTGAGTGGTATCCAAGAGATACCAGAAGAAAAAGAGGTAGGCAAACGAAAAGATGGGAAGACGACTTCAACAAAATAGCTGGTCCGGTATGGACTCGTTTAGCAAAAGACAGGAATACGTGGAAATCTTTAGAGGAGGCCTTTGTCGACAGACAAGCTGTTCCAGACAAACATCCAGTTGCCGAACATACAATGATTAAACCAATTTAATTTAGTAAGTACTTCGAAAGTAATTAAAATTTAATTTAGTAGAAAAGTATTTAGACAGTAATTATGTTAGGCATGTATTAATTAATGAGTATTATTGTAAGATGGGATACTGAATTTAAAGTGAACATAAACGGCAAAGTAATTAGTTCCGACCTCGAAGTAGCCGCTGCATTTGAAGAGTTTTACTAACATTCCTTTAAATACAACCAGCGTTCTAAATTCTTCACCATCAGCCGCCCTTTTATTATTGAATAAGAATGTTCCTGTATGCAATCATAAGTTTATATTTAGCCGCATTAGCTGCAATGACATTATAAAAACATTTAAACAGCTAAAAATAAAAAAAACTAAAGATCTTTGGGGTGTATCTGTTTTCATTTTACAATCAGTAATCAATACTATCAGTTCAGAGTTGGCTATAATATTTAATGAATGTATAGATTGTGGAGTCTTTCCAGACCAGATGAAGATAAGTAAAATCACACCGTTATTCAAAACGGGCAGCACTTCGGACCCCACAAATTTTAGACCCATATCTGTGCTGCCGGCTTTGAGTAAAATCTTTGAAAAAATCATTCTTGAACAATTATTGATACATTTTAATAATAATAAACTTATGCATAGCCAGCAGTATGGTTTTACAAGAGGTCGCTCCACAGCAGATGCTGGCATTCAATTAATTTCCGAGATTTTAAATGCTTGGGAAAATTCTCATGATGCCATTGGAGTTTTTTGCGACTTATCAAAGGCTTTTGACTGTGTCCATCACGAAATCCTAATCAAAAAACTTCAACACTATGGCATTGGCGAAAAAGCGCTAAATCTTATGGAATCATACCTGAGCGATAGAATTCAAAAGGTAAATGTAAATGGAGCTATATCACAGGGATCCTCTGTTACTATGGGAGTACCGCAAGGCTCCATACTTGGTCCCTTCTTATTCCTCGTCTATATAAATGACCTACCATTTCTTGTAAAGGAGCTTCACGAGATAGTACTGTTTGCTGACGACACTTCGCTTTTATTTAAAGTGAAACGACAAAATCCATCACTTGATAACGTAAACAGTGCCATCTCCAGTGTAGTTCACTGGTTTTATACAAATAATCTTAAGCTAAACGAAAAGAAGACAAAATGTGTTAAATTTGTAACTACAAATGTAAAAAGTAGTCATTCTCAAATAATCATTAAAGACGAGGAAATAGACTTTGTTGATAATGCGGTGTTCTTGGGAATAACTTTAGATAGTAAACTCCAGTGGGGCCGACACATAGAAGGTCTTTCGAATAGGCTAAGTTCCGCAGCGTTCGCAGTAAAAAAAGATACGCGATCTTACGGATGAGAACACAGCAAAGCTTGTTTATTTCAGCTATTTTCACAGTATTATGTCATATGGTGTTATTTTGTGGGGTAATGCAGCTGACATTAAATCGATATTTGTAGTGCAAAAGCGGGCTATAAGAGCGATCTGTGGGTTGTCCCCACGGGAGTCGGTCCGAAAGAAGTTTAAGGAATTACATATTTTGACTCTGGCAAGTCAATACATTTATGAGAATATTTTGTATGTGCGGAAAAAAATAGATATTTTTAAAAAAAGAATAGTAGCTTCCATAATTATAGTACTCGTAATAAAGACAAAATTAGCGCACCAACCAGAAGGCTGCATAAAACGAGTAATTCTTTCCAAGGCAATTGTATACGTTTTTTCAATAAAATCCCTAGTGGGATACAAGAGTTGTCAATAAATAAATTTAAGGCGTACATTAAAGTAAAACTGCTTGCTCAGGCCTATTATAATATAAATGAATATTTAAACGATCCTAGTGCTTGGATATAAGTTGCTCCAGTATAAATAGGTAACGCGACTGAATCTCTCGGCTGCATTTCCAGACTCCGGGGCGATCGTCAACATCCACGACTGTATTAATGTAAAGTGGGAACAAACCGTGATCCATGTGGTATCAAATTATTTCAGTATTATTATTATTTTCTTATGTAGCCAAGTCCACATTTCAAGGATCGTCATGCTCGCTTAAATGTCATTGCTTGTGGCGGCGTCCATGCGTCGGGTTGTCTCTCTCCCTAAAATATGGCGAGGGGGCCGATGGCTGGCCATGCGTCATACTCGTGAACGGGTGCTACTTGTGGTGACTGGTCGTACTTGAATTCGTGTATGCGGTGATGTTAATTATTTCGACTATGTGTTTGCGTGTTGTTCCCACGAGAATGTAAGTGCGTGCTCCTATTTCACCATGCCTCCTGCTGATAGAGGACAAGTCTTTGTTTTTAATTTATGTTATTATTATTAATTACTTAAGATGTCATGTGCAACATGGTGAAATGGTTGCAGCTCCTTACAAACGTTGTGTAAAAAAAAAACATGGCGATTAAAAAGAGTGGCGGAGAGTTTATTGCCAGTTCTTCTCTTCCGTTCTACGCCCTTGATTTGTGAACTGGCAGTAAATGTAAAATTAGAAGCATTAATATGTATTTCTTTAATGACGAATCACAAGTGTACATTGTGTTACCTACGTGAATAAATGATTTTTGAATTTGAATTTGATAGAAACAGCAATAAAAGCTATTTTATTTTTTATTTTATTTATTAATTATTAATATTAATTGAATTAAATTATTAATAATTTGTGTTTTATTTTTCACAGTAATTGGCAAGCGGAAGCGAACTGGTTTTACCTATTTAGGAAAATATTATCTAAGTATATAAAACTGAAGAACATTTATTTCGGTCAAAATAACTGGAAGACATTTATTTCGGTAAAAAATAATAAACAAAACATAAGTTGAAACATGAAGATTCGTAAAAAAATGAGGCGCTTCATAGGTTTCGCACACAGGCGCTGTGGGTGGTCGGCGGCCCTGGATTGCTATAAACAAAACCAGTTTTTTTTTTCGTGAACAAAGTTAAAAAAGTATTTGATTTCAGATAGTAGACGCAGACTTAAACATTTTGTATGTGGATGCATCATGTGGTGGATCATTCCATGAGAGTTTTATATTTAATAATTGTGTCATAAAAGAACATTTGGAGGAACTGAATAATTCTAATAAGTAATTTTTTAAGAAAAATGATAGTGCTTACTGTCAACTAGCATATATGATGGTAGCAGTGCCTAACCCATAACCCGAACCAATATTTTCCCTTTATCCACTGCAAGAGTTACCTTGACACAATCTCTCGGCAATGATGCTGCTGACGAGCTTGCGAGAAGAGGCTCCGGAATGATACCTGATGGCCCGTATCCGCTCCTCCCCTTGCCCTTCTCGCTGGTGCGAACCTGAATTCGCTAGAGATCCGCTGAACTCCAGCATCAACGATGGTCGCGTAGTGCGGTCTGCAAACAATCCAAAATGGCTCTGCCAGCAGCGAACCCGCAACTGACAAAGCGACTACTAAGCTTAAATAGAACCAACCTTAAAACAATGATAGGGACAATAACGGGTCATTGTCTCCTAAATAAACATCTTTTTCTCCTAGGCGCGACAGACAGCCCCCTGTGCAGAGGCTGTTTCAGCGCAGAGGAAACAGTCACCCACGTAGTCCTGGAATGCGACGCTGTAGCTAATCAACGTGCAAAAATCCTCGGAACAGTGAGGTCGCTCCGGGAAGCCTGTGAAGTACCCAGGAGACTTCTGTGCTTCTGGAAGGAGCTAGGCTGGCTAAATTAGCCAGGACTTTTAACGCACAACGGACCAATCAGGAGTCAAATTACGGAAATAGGAGTTCTTCTACCCTAACCCTAACCAGTGCCTAACGTTTTAAATATTTCACCTGAAGCAACAAATAATAAAGTACATGCTAGTGCACGTAACTGAGACGCAAGGGTTATAGGTATCAACAATTACGACGATTTCGGTGCCTGTTAGTACATAGAGTACTACATTATGACCCTAATACTTTGGGGAAAATTGCAATAGCCTGTTGCAATTTTCCCAAATTATCGACTGCTCCCGAGTTATCGTCTGAACAACAAACAACGGAGATCCGGCTTCAGATTTTGTGTGTGTTGTCATGTTTTCATATAAAAACAATTACCAATTCAAACCCCAAATACACCAAAATAATCCCCAAGGTATGAATACCGAGCGGGGAGTTCAGGTATCGAAAAATATACACAAGTGTTTTACAGTGTGTATCGAAAACGATACACATATCGCTGAGCGTGTGATCGCTGAGCGATAAAACCGAATACTTCAAAATATACTGACGGACTCATAAACTGCATCAAACTTCAGGATTACTTTGAAATTATTTTTTTAATAAGTATGCAAACTTTTTAGATTAAATTATATAAATATGGAGAGACTGGCCTTTAATCTTACAAAAAAGCAATATTTAAAAATAAAACTGCAGTAAAACAAAGAGAGAACATAAAGAGACCTATCTAAAAAGGTAAAATTTATATTTTTTAAAGTGAGGGAAAACAGAAAATTACCAAGAAAGGCAAAAATTTATGTTTTTTACGGATTACAAAAAAAGTTAAGCGACAACCCAATTTTTTTATTATTTCATTCTTCGATTTCGATTCTTAAACTTTTCTTTATTCTAACTTTGATATGTGAGAAAACATACAACAGGACAGCAATGTCGAAATGTGGGGAATGCAATGAAGGCCTCCTTGATGGGGCAGTTCGCTCATCATGTAAACAGACTTTCCACTATAATTGTATAGGAATTACAGAGGGAGGATATCGAAAACTGGGTGATAGAAAATCTACTTGGCGATGCCCTAAGTGTAAATCAGGTGGACAAATGAATACACCGACACTTTCTCCAATGCAAGAACCATCACGTAAGTTGTTAGAATAGATAAAAACCCTGTCATCCAGAATGACAACCTTCGAAGAATTAGTAAGCCAGATAAAGTTAATGAGAGATGAGTTTTCTGGGCTAAAATCCTCAGTCGTAGAAGCTAGCACAATTGTAAAGGACTTTGGGTTACGACTTTCAAATATAGATTAATTAAAGATATAAGTCTTTTTTAATTTGTCATAAAAAAAACATTTAATAATGTGTTTTATAATGTGAATCATTGGCCTACATGTCCTATATAAAAGTGTGTAATGTTGTTGTAGTTTAATAAATTGATTTTAAGAGTAAATATGTTTTTTGTTATTATCTCAAAAATATTTTTTCTTGACAGTGATATTTCTTTCCCTGTACCCTTCGGACACCAATAACACTTTAGACACACTAGACACATTTATAAGAACACACATTAACTCGGACATTGTAGTTTGCGGCGACTTCAACGCGAGGCACATGCTCTGGGGTAGCCCTCGAAGCAACACTCGGGGTCTGCACGTACCAGACATCATTAATTCAAACAACTTATTAATCAACAACAACGCCAGCACACCTACAATTCAAACAATAACTCACGGAGCGGAGAGGTCATCTATCATCGACCTCAAACTCTCATCCATACATACATATCACCAAATACACAAATGGGAAGTAAAACAGCGCCTATTCCCATCCACACAACACAATCCTATAGGATTCCTATAGATTGCCGTACAGACCCAATACCACACGCCATGAACAATAGTACATTCAAATATAACACTAGTAAGGCAAATTGGCACACTTTTAAAGAAACACTCCACACCTTAATGACCAATCATAACATACTCGAAGTAAACATCTCGTCACTAACGCCTGACCAATTGGATAAGTTCGTCCATTCCCTTACCAACACTATCAACAGCGCCTGCCTGAACTCTTTCGCCCTCAAAACAGGCTTGAGAAAACCCCAAGCATCGTGGTGGAGTGAAAATCTTGAACATCTTAAGAAACAATGCATCAATTTACACCACAAAATACACACACATTCCAAAAACAAACAGACACCCCCTGCAGATCTTATCAACAAATACCACGAAATTAAATTTAGATATACACAAACAATCAGGAAAACATCCACTGAACACTTTAAACAATTCTGCGAATCGCAAGGCGCAGAAGACGTTTGGTCTATCACCAACAAACTATTAAAATATAACAACATTCAACCCAGCACCCTTAAGGTAAACAATAAATTCACAAGCAATGAGGAGGAGACATCACAGGCACTACTTACACACTTTTATCCCGACGTCCCTGATACGGACGTCAAACACACAAATATGCGCAATAATTCTAGTTTATTACCCGACACGGAGGACGACCCTGCTTTCACCTCACCAGAGATAATATCAGCATTTAATTTCATCTGTCACAACAAAGCACCGGGCAATGACCACCTTACCAGCGACATATGCCAGGTCTTTACCCGTAATTATCCTGAGCTAACGACAAACCTCATGAACCACTGCTTGCAGATTGCACACTTCCCAACCCCGTGGAAGGAAGCAGTGGTTAAAATCATCCCCAAACCCAACAAACAGGACTACACAAACCTAAACTCCTTCAGACCTATAGGTCAAATCCCCGTGTTCGGGAAAGTACTAGAAAAACTTTTCACCAAACGTTTTACCTACAACGCGCACAAACTCAAACTACTGAACCGATCGCAATTCGGCTTCACCGAACAAACTACGGAACGCTAAACAGAACAAACAACACACCATAGCCGTATCCCTCGATATTAAGGCCGCGTTTGACAACGCCGTGGCCGGCCGAACTGAGCGGATTACGAGCGGTAAAATGCCCACTTAACATATTTAAACTCATACAAAACTACCTCACAGATAGAACAGTAACACACAAAATGGGCAACACACGCACCACACGCACAACACAGAAGGGATGAATCCAGGGGTCGGCATGCGGTCCGATACTCTGGAACATTATCCTTAACTCACTACTCAACACTCTACTCCCACCAGGGTGCCACATCCAAGCCTTCGCCGACGACGTTTTACTAATAAAGGGTATTTCAACAAGAAGTTTGTTTTTCAATTGTGGCAACACCGAGAACGTGATAGTTTTGACATTTAGTTTTTGGCGGTATTCGTAGCAGGTGCTTTGGCAATTATTACAATGAATTCAATTTCGCTCGAAAATCGCATTAAAATAATTCAAATCCACTATAAAAATGGTGGTTCTGTTAAAGTTACATTTCGTAAAATTCGTGATATTTTCGGCCAGCATAATCGTCCTTCTGAGACCGCTGTTAAGAATTTGGTCGCGAAATTTGAGTCGACAGGCTCGGTACAAAATGTGCCAACACCAACACGTGTTCGACCGGGTCGTTCAACAGAAAACATCGCCGCCGTGAGCCACAGTGTTGAAGAAGATCAAAATTTGTCAATTTCACGACGTTCTCAACAATTGGGGTTATCCAAAAGCACAACATGGCGAATTTTGCGAAAGGATTTGGCTTTGAAGCCTTACAAGATTCAACTGGTGCAGGAATTAAAGCTGATCGACCATTCAAATCGCCGCAGATTCGCTCAGTTCATTCAGGAACAACCTGCTGGTTTTTCTGAAAAAATCATTTTTTCAGACGAAGCCCATTTTCATTTGTCAGGGTACGTCAACAAGCAAAATTGTCGCATTTGGGCTTCTGAAAATCCTAAAGCAATTATTGAGAAGGCTTTGCATACTCAACGTGTTACTGTGTGGTGCACTATGTGGTCTGGAGGCGTGATTGGGCCGTTTTTTTTCGAAGATGAGGCTGGAAATGCGGTAACAGTCAATGGATCACGGTATCGCGAGATGTTAACCACTAAATTTTGGCCTATTATTGATGACATGGATATCACTGAAATGTGGTTTCAACAGGACGGTGCCACATGTCACACAGCCAATGAAACGATCAATTTATTGCAAACCAAATTTCCCGAGCGCATAATTTCGCGAAATTCAGCTGTTAAGTGGCCAGCCAGATCGTGTGATTTAACACCACTGGATTATTTTTTGTGGGGCTATGTTAAAGACAGAGTCTATACGGAGCCAATCTTATCGATTGCAGCCTTAAAACTCAAAATCCGTGATGTCATTAACGAAATAGACCCTCCATTTTGCCAAAAAGTGATTAAAAATTTTGATGAAAGAATCAACATCTGTCAGCGTGGTCGTGGTGGACATTTGCCAGATATCATTTTTCATTCATAATTGCCAAACTTTTCTCTTTGTAATACAATAAAAATTTTATTCATTTTCCTCTAAATTCTTTGTTTTATTTTGTTTTAGAAAACAAAGTTCTTGTTGAAAAACCCTAAAAAACCCTTAAGTAACAGACACAGACACCAACACACTCGAACATAAAGCCAACTTCACATTAAACACAATAAAAGGGCCAAGGAATCAAACTCCAGTTCGGCCCCGACAAAACACAACTTATAGCCTTTTCCGACCCAACACAAACTTGCAAAACAACCTTCGACAATACTCTTCTACAGTTCACACACAAAATAAAATAACTAGGAATTATATTAGACAACAAACTCACTTTCAAACATCACATCACATATATAACCACAAAAGCAACACACATATTTAATAAACTAGCAATATTTACACGACCCACTTGGGGACCACACCCAGATAACATCGGGCTCATTTATAAAATGGTCATTGAGCCAATTATGACGTACGGCGCATCGATTTGGGGCCACGCGGCTAACAAAATATACAATAAAAAACTACTACTTAAGACGCAAAGGGGGTTCGCTCTGCGATCCACCAGATCATTCAAAAACGTCTCTACTAATGCGGCCGTCGCTCTCGCGGGATTCGTTCCCTTAGACCTTAAGGCCCTCGAGTCCTGCGAGATCGAGGGGGCGCGTATCAGAGGCGTTAGCCGAACAAAGCCTTTAGGGCTGATTCAGTCTGTATGTACCAGATGGAATTCTGTTTTTTATCAATTAGAACGATTTGTTGAGTTATCTGAAATTATTACGCCAATATTACTCAAGTATCCTAAAGCACCGACAATGCTAACTGCACAGCAGTTAAAATTTATAAAAGATCTTATAAATATATTGAGACCATTAGAAGTAATAACTAAAGAAATATCGGGAGAAGACTATGTTACAGCCAGTAAAATTATACCAATCGTATCTTGTCTGACTGGAACATATAATGCGATGAAAACTTCAACTGACATTGGAGCTAAATCAGGAACTTTAATTATGGACGGTTTAAAGAAAATATTTGGAAATATCTAACGTGAAATTTTAGAACAGCCAGAGAATATCAATCCTGAACTTGCGGAAGAAGAATTACCAGAGACAGAAATGAGCAATGATCAATTCCAAAGAGCACAGCAGGCTATGAATATTGATCAAAGACAATTGTTCATCTTGATAACAGAGAGTATCAAAATTAAACTTAATGGTGATATTAAACGAGAGAAAAATTTTGTAACTGGTGGAGCAGGCACCGGAAAAACTTTCCTCTTTAATCTATTAAAAAACCAAGTTAACCGATGCTATGGAAAATCGGTTGTGAAAATTGGTGCTCTTACTGGAGTCGCAGCACGGTTGGTCGGTGGATCTACACTACACCGTCTGCTAAAACTACCAGTACAAAAAGATGGAGTTATCGTTACCATGCCACTTCTAACTGGTAATTATTTAAGAGTGATGCGCCAATTATGGCAAAACGTTGAGTTTATGTTTATAGATGAAATTTCTATGGTACCTTATGAGATGCTTTGCATGATCGACTCTCGTTTGCGTCAACTGAAAAGCCCGGACGCTTGTTTTGGAGGTATAAATGTTTTACTGTTTGGTGATCTGATGCAGTTACCACCTGTCCGAGGACATAAAGTATTTCAACAACCAGAACACATGAAACCCGCGACACATTTGTGGCGGCAATTCCGCCTGGTTGAACTCAAACAAAACATGCGTCAACAAGGAGACACGACATTTATCGATGTGCTTTACGCCCTAAGGCCGGGTTCCCACTACGCCGGACCGGCAGATCTGCCGCGCCGGTAAATCTGCCGGAAGAGCTAGTGGCTGTACAATTTATATGAAGCTATTCACATTATCCCGGGTCCGGCATTTTTGCCGAGCCCGGCATTTCTACCGAACGTTTTGTCACTACGAATTGCCGGTAGAACGACCGGGCCCGGAGTAATGTGAACGAGTTTGTGCCGGTATCTGTCCCCCGCTCGCCCTGCTCGTGCTCCCCTCGCCCCGCCCGTGTTCCACTCACGTCATTCGGCTCGCATGTTCTGGTAAAAGTAGACGTTTAGCATGGATATTCAAGCAGAAACTTTAATTACGCTTGTCCAAGAGAGACCTGTTCTGTGGGATAAGACCGAAGACGTTTATAAAGACAAAAACTTAAAGTTAGCAGCATGGCGTGAAGTATGTTTAATACTGAAACCAAACTTCGATGAACTGGATGAAAAAGAAAGAAAACAGTACGGTGAGTTTTTAATGTTTTATTGATAAAATGTAAATGCATTGATAAATTTTATTTTATAGCTGCTGCCTGCCACGGAACGGAACCAATATCTGAAACAAAATAATTAGTAAATGATGTCCGTATAGCGTTGGCATTAGGGCCACCTCGACTCGACACATTTCGATTCATGGGTGTAGTTTCTTGTTCTTGTCTATGTTCTATATTTTGGTAACTTTCAAAATTTATACCATCTTTTTCTCTTACAAAATTATGTAAGACTGCACAAGCTTTAATTACTTGAATTGCTGTGTCTACGTTGAGATCTATAGCTCGATGGATTATTCGCCACTTATTTGCCAGAATACCAAAAGCGCACTCAACATACCTTCTTGCTCGACTTAGTCTATAGTTAAAAATCTTTTTATCAGTATTCAAATGTGTACCTCCATATGGACGTAGGAGATTAGGTGTTAAAGCAAAGCCTTCATCGCCAACAAGTATAAACGGTAATTCTTCGTGCAAGTTTTCATGAAGCGGTCTAGGCTTTGGTACATTTAAAGTACCATCATTGATCTTTTGCCAAAATGTACTATCCTTTAATATACTAGAATCGCATTCCTTGCCAAATGAGCCCACACTAATAAAAATAAATCGGTACTCTGAATCGACAACTGCCATTAATACAAAAGAATAATACTCCTTGTAATTAAAGAACATAGAACCACTCTTGGCTGGTTTCAAAATTCTGATATGTTTGCCATCTACTGCTCCAAGACAGTGAGGAAAGTTGGCTTTTCTTTCGAATCCTGAAGCGATGTCCTCCCATTCTCTCTCAGTATCAGGCAGCTTAAGGAAATCTGTCTTTAGGTTTTCCCAAATGACGTGGGTCATTTCTTTTATTAGTTTACTTATTGTCGAAACGCCTACTCTGTATGAGTAATGTATTTCTTTGAATGAACATCCTGAAGCTAAATATCTGAAAAAAAAGTATTTTTTGTTAATACATTATTACTTTATACGTCACCAAGAAACAAATTGTATTGTTTTATGATATTTTTTTATTGATTTCAGGAAAACAGGTTTCAACTAAATGGAATAATATACGAGATTCGTGGCTTAAGACAGTAAAGAAACAAAAAGATGAGTCTAAATCTGGATCTTCGACCAAAAAGACACGAAATTATTTATATCACGAGCAATTAATGTTTTTGAAAAAAGTCTCCGAACCTCGACCACCACATGAGTCAGTTTCAAAAAAAGCAAGAACCGAGACTGAAGTAGGCATGGAATCAGATTTTCGTTCACCTTTAATTAAAGATAAAAAAAAATTGATAATAAAGAGGTAAATGACAGGATGGTAAAGTTTTTGGACTCCAGAATAAACCCAGAAAAGGAAAACCATCATCTATCTTTCTTCAAAGGCATTATACCAATCTTGAACACTTTAACTATCGAAGAGACTTTAGAATTTCAAGCTAGCGTCATGACAATGTTGCAAAAAATTAAAAGTAGGAATTATGAGAGACCAAATTACGGACATTGGCGTGATTCATATAATCAGATAACCGGACCAGATCAGTATTCTGGATACTACACACATAATAGCGTCAATCAACAGCCAATACCTACGCAAGATCAACACTACCCTGGATACTCTACGCAATATAATAGTAGCAATCAACAGGCAACAACATCTATACCATCAACTTCATCTCAGACATCGAATCCGATTCCAGCTTCGCCATCAGCATCTAGTAATCGTTCCATACATTCCCAAGACTCAGATTACTTAGATTTTGAAGGGATTTAAGTTTGAGTACAAATAAATACTTAAATAATTGTTTGCATTTTTAATTCATAATGATTATCAAATACATACACCCTCCCACACACACACATTATATATATTCACATTCATGAAACAAACATACATAGCAAACATTCATTCATTCATACAGTCTTAAGTAGGTACCTACGTCAAAACTATTATTACGCAATCTAGTGCATAAAATAATCTTACCTTAGACATATGGCTAATCTTTGTTCTGGGCAAATACATTCTCTGAAACTTGTATCTCGTACTCTTATGTCTAGTCGTCCCAGTAAATCGTCAAAAGTGGTTGCTGTCATTCGAAAATAATTGAAGAACTTTGATTCGTCTCTTCTAAGTTCACCCATTAATGTTTCAAATGTTCCAAGTGAAAATCTTTCCCGTAAAATAGGGTGTACCCAATGTTTTCTTTTATTTTGCCTTCTATTAAGATACCACCACAACACAACAATTTCGTCGTCCATTGTGCGCGCAGGTCCAAATTCAACTGAGGACTGTCTGAATTTCTTCCGGGATCCGATGTAATGTGAACACTCTGTCCGGTGTCCGGTTTTCGGCAGATCTGCCGGTCCGGCGTAGTGGGAACCCGGCCTAAGAGTTGGAGAATTAACGGCGAAGCATCTTGAAGTTCTTCTTGGTAAAGTTTCAACAGATACTACTGAAGAATTCTCGATTGAGAGAGCTTTGAGGATTTATCCAACAAATGACCAAGTTGCTAGACATAACGAAAAAGTTCTTCAGAGTTTTCAGGATAAAGGGACTACTATTTATACAATTAAAGCACAAGACCAACTCATTGATGCGACACGTAATTTAGGGAATAAAGACTTAAACTCTATAATACCGAATGATATCAATAAAACAGGAGGTCTTCCTAATGTATTGAAAATATTCGTAGGAGCTAAAGTGATGTTAAGGTCAAACATTGATGTGTCAAAAGGTTTAGTGAATGGTAACATGGGTTTTATTACAGAAATTATATGGGCAAATTTTCGTAGGGACCAAATATATGCGGAAGACATCCCGTCAGTCCGTATTAATTTCGGTTCAGATGGTGAACACGTAATTAAACCAATATCGATACAATTTCCAGCAAAATACAGCTATGGCAAAATATAACTGCTGAGAGACGAATGTTGCCATTAATCCTGAGTTGGGCATCGACCGTTCATAAGATGCAAGGCTGTACAGATCATGCAGAAATTTATTTGGGCTCTCGGCTATTTGCTGCTGGACAAGCATATGTAGCACTTAGCCGGTGCAGATCTTTGGACGGTATTCGAATTGAAGAACTTGATTGCTCAAAGTTGACAAGTAAAACCCCATGTAACAGTGAAGCATTAGATGAAATGATTCGACTAAGAAATAATAATTCATAAGAGTCGTCAATATTACTTGGTCACAATTAGCAACTATTTGAAACTATTCAAACATTTTCTAAGACATGTTACATTATTATGATTATAAAATATTTATTGTAGAATTAAAGTATAGTTTGTAAGTTGATAAAATTATGTACTAATTAGGTTCGTAAAAAACAATGAAATTTTTTTAAGTCCACAAAGCAAAACGATTAAATTGAGAAAACACGTATTGCTACTAGGACTAAAAAGTGGAAAATAAATATAGTTTAAAAAAACTAAAAAACACGCTTTTAAAGCACATCAAACTAAAAAGTGAAAAATAATTCCTAATTTAGGCTGAAAGTGGTAATGCACAAAAAATACTGGTATTATTGTGAAAAAGCGTGGGTTGCTCGATAGACGAAAAATATGGCACAGAGGCAAAAGGAACATACCTAGGGTTGGTCTCTCATTACGTAAACCAGCAATCCTACATGATATAAAGAACCACATTAATTGGATACCAAGGAATGAATCGCTTTATTTAAGGTCTTCAACTTCTCGAGAATATATAGGTGGAGAGAAAACAATAATGGATCTTTGGATAGATTTTGATAAAGATCAACGCGACGCAGGAAAAGCTACATGTGAATATTGGTTATATTATGACATTTTCACAAAAGAGTTTAATATTGGATTTTTCCAACCCAAGAAAGACAGATGCGACCTATGTTTTGAATATGAACTAGTTTCTCCAGAAAAAAAACTACAACTAAAAGAAAAATATGATCGTCATTTAAAAGAAAAAGATTTATCCCGAAAAGAGAAAGATAATGATCGACTCAACATTGATGAAACCCATATTTGTGCAGTGTTAGACCTGCAAGCAGTAATGCAATGTCCTAGCGGTGATTCGTTTTCATTCTATTACAAAACAAAACTGAATTGCCTCAACTTTACAATCGTGGAATTACTAAAGAAAAGAGACAACAATTTGGAGGAAAATACAGAAAGTGTACACAAACGTGATATTGGAGCTTAAGGAGACGTCTACAGTTTTTTCTGGGACGAAAGTCAGGGGAAACGCGGATCTAGCGAGATCGGATCGTGTGTTCTTAATTATTTGGAGATTTTAAATGCAAGACATCAGGGTCAGGTCCATTCACGTTACGATTTATTCCGACAATTGCTGCGGACAAAAACAAATATGTAGCTAGCTTGCTTATATTCCTACGCAATATCAAATTTTGAGAACATTCAGTCTATAACCCAAAAGTACCTAATAAAGGGTCATACCCAAAATGAAGGGGACAACGTCCACAGCCTCATTGAAAAGGAAATCCAACGGAATAAAAATGTTTTGTTTCTATTGATTTTATTATATTTAATTTTATATTTGCAGATTTCGACTCAAACAAACGAGATTATTAATATGTTTATTGTCTGTACCAAAGTGACTTAATATAAAGCCAGGGTTATACTAGATCCCGCGTGTCGCAACGCATTGGATTGCGATCGGTTACATACATTTAGTATGAACGTGGTTACATTAACCCAGCCCCGCGTGTCGCCGAGTGAGCTGACGCCACGCAGATCGCTCGATTTCGATCGGCGTGGGCTCGGTAGTGGGGGAAGTGTCCCGTTAGCTCGCTCTGCGCTAGTATAATCGCCACGTGGCTACGCGCATTTGCGCATTCCAGCGTGTCGACGAGCAAGCAAGCAGACATCTACCACATTTTAGAGCGCGCGCAAGATGTCCGTTGACGAACTAATTGAGCTAGTGAGAGAGTATAAATTTTTATATGATCCTAAAAATAAAGATTATAAAGACCATTTGATAAGAACAGCAGCGTGGGAAGAAATAGGCCAACAATTAAAACTACCAGGTAAATTTTATGTTTTATTTCTTTTTAGTGAGTACATAGGTATAACCCGATTTTTGTAACTGTGCGCACGGAGCTGTCGTAATAGAGAACTGAATTTACCCCGTGACCCCGCCGGCGTCCCTGCCCAGCACCCTGTTGATGCGTCGTAGTACTATACGGTCTGCACATCTCTCAGTACTTGCGTTTAAATATCCTACTATATGAATTGTTATTCCAGAACACTAAAATATTTTGACAGCTCCGTACGCACGACAAAAACTAATTTGATTCCGCCATCACCGGAGTCACCATTGAGTGAGACAGCAGAGAACAGTCCGCCTGAGTTCAGCAATGAGTCAGAAAGCAGAGAAATGTATTCACCTAATATACGGTCGAGTGATGAATCTCAAAGGAGTTCGTCATTTAAGAGATCAGTCTCAGGTAATAGAAAACCTGACATGGAAGACCAATTGATGAAGAATAATAATGATTTAAGACGAGAAAGGCATCAATTGAAGCAGGATATGGACGAAACCGATTTATTCTTTTTAAGTATGAGTAAGGCAGTCAAGGCGCTACCAAAGCTAGAGCAAACAAAAATTAAGTTAGATTTGCATATGGCCATTTCGCAGGCAGAAATTCGTCAGATTTCTAAAACGGAACATGTGTTGAACACGCCTATTAAAATAAAGTCGCAAAAAATAATTTCGCATTGTAACCAGTTTCGTGACTAGCATCCGCAAGCACCTTCGTCGATCCAGCCATGCACCAGTTCATGAAAAACATCATCCAGCAGGACCTACTACTTTCCAAACTTACCTACAAGCCTGACATGCAATAGCCCACCCGAATCCGAGTCAATACTCTATCCTCAGATTTCAACCAGTCTGAGGGTGCTTACATAAAGAAACAGGTTTCCGGTACAGACAAATCTGTACGGGTCGGTACCGATCAGCGCAGGTATAATATTTCAATATAATCCTATTCACTCACTTATAAAGAAACAGGTTGTAACTTGTCGGTGCCGACTACCTGGACCGTGCCATACGGGTTTAAGCATTTACTGGTGTAGGGTGTGTTTAATAATATTAAAAATGGATTTGGATAACGAAGTTTTGATAGCCTTAGTGTTTGATAAACAATGTTTATGGGACAAAACTCATAAGTTCCACAGCAACAGAAATGTTACAGATAAGTGTTGGAAAGAGATCAGTTTGGAAATGAAACAGGATGGTGAGTACTTTCAATGATCAGTTCGATTTATTTTAATTTTGTAGTTATAAAATATTAATAATAAAGTATTACCCAATTTAATTATATAATAAGTGATTATGTTTGAAATATTGCACAAAATTATTTCTGACGTTTGTAGCAACATTACTAGGCGGACTCAGTCTTTGATTGTGCCATCTTCGTCTAACAATATTTACCGAAGTCAAGTTTCGCTCAAAACCCTCTTTATCAATAATTATATTGTGCAACAAACACATAGTTTTTACGATCTTATCAGCTAGTTGAATATCCGTTTCGATGCTTTTAGATAACAAACGCCACTTTGAGTATAATCTACCAAATGCACATTCCACTGTTTTTCTCGCTCGGGACAAGCGACTATTAAAATTTTGTTGGTCCACTGTTAAATCACGTCCCCCAAAGGGTTTCATTAAATATGTTTTTAAAGGATACGCTTCATCAGCTAAAAATACGTAAGGAACAGAGACTTGGGTATTAGGCAAATAAGCGGGCGATGGAATATCTAATTCTCTTTCATTTAGAAACTGATACAAATCTGATGCTCTAAAGGTACCGCCATCACTCTGTTTACCATAGCCCCCGACTTCTACCATTACAAATTTATAAATGGCATCGGCTACTGCTTGCAGTACCACAGAGAAATATTTTTTATAGTTGTAAAACATAGATCCAGATTTTTTTGGGCACATTACGCGCACATGTTTACCGTCTATACAACCTATGACGTGAGGGAAATTCCAAATATTATTGAAATCATTAGATATTGAATAAAATATATCTCTGGTGGGTGTAGGCATATGTATGGTATATATATATCAATAAAAGTTCTTTCTAATAATTACTATTGTTCTAAAAATGCTTTATATAAAACAGTACAAGCAAAAGTGAACCCCAAAAGTAGTAGTCATTGTCCAGGATATATCAATAAAAGTTCTTTCTAATAATTACTATTGTTCTAAAAATGCTTTATATAAAACAGTACAAGCAAAAGTGAACCCCAAAAGTAGTAGTCATTGTCCAGGATCTGGTGCTTGCCCTTCATGGAGGTCCTGCACTTCATTTATGAATTCAAGTGGAATGCAACATGAAATGTTCCCAAATACAATTAACAAATTATCATTATTTGATTGTTTCACTCCTGGTGGATGTGCAGGTAATGGTTGCATGAGATGTGATAATGGTTGCAGTTTTCATAGTGTTGAACTTTTAAATGCTGATGATATTATATATGATGTTTTTGAATGCCCTAATTGGATTCCACATCTATCTATTGAAGTCAAATTCCATAACCTCACGGGTATGAATGACTTTGAGGCAACTTTAATAGGAGCAGAGCCCTATTCAGAAGAAAATCTAAAGTTAACAAAAATTGCTGATTCAACACCAATTAATAATAAAGACTTTTGCCTGGTTAGGGATGATAAAGCTATATACTATTCAAGTTGTCAAAAATCCACTGAGCTATTTTCAGGCTCAATTGGTGAAATTCGTTGTCCAACAAATGAAGATGCTTTGGGGTTAACTGATAAATGCTTAATAGCAAAAAATACTGTTAGAATTAAAAGTATAAATTGGGATGCAATTGTAACAAACAATCAAATAAACATAAAGAAAGCTATACAAAGTCAAAGGCTCCCTAGTCTACATGGTTCTGCAATGATAGATAGTTTTCCAGATGGTACTGTGATAATGAAAAACACAGTTGCAGAGACATATGAAATTCAAGTTTCCATTAAGAACCTGGAAATAAGTATTAGGAAAGAAAAAAGTACTTGCTCTGGTGAGCATGAACAATATAAACCACCATTCCCAAGGCTGAGACAATTTAATACAAAAACAATTGAGATACTTATACTATTTTTGAATCATAACGCTACCGCGATTCAAGGAACCACAGGCGACATCTATTGGTTCAACATAAAACTATAATAATTTAAACATACCGCGATTCAAGGAACCACAGGCGACATCTATTTGTTGAACATATAACTATAATTGTTTAAACATACCGCCCACCATCGACGTCGACTTTTGGGACACTCTGTATAAATAAGCCCCCAAAAAATATTTGATTGATGAACTTTTTAAAGAGTATGGCCACGTAGTAGTTCGTCTACCACCATACATGTGTAACCTCAATCCAATTGAATATATTTGGAATTTGGTCAAGCAAAGGGTAGCCGATAAAAATATCAACCAGTCAGAAAGAGAAAGAAACAAGATGAAAAAATACTACTAATATTAATCATAATGATCTCATTAATTCTGATCACAACTATAATTGTAATGATTTTAAAATTGACCAAAGAAAAGATTCCAAAGATTAAATCTAAAATGCCCAATATGAGGTCATTCAGAGGAAAAATTTTCCCTTCATTTAAACGTAAAAGGGATGAAGATGAAGAAGGAGATCCTGAAGGTTTATTGAAGGAAAGGAGGGAAGGAAATGTGTTGAGTGGCATTCTAGTTAAAATAGTAATTCCATCCCTTCATTAGAACATGTACCAAAACCATTTATTAGAAGATCAGTTTACTCTTTCAGATTTTATACACCATCACATCATTATGATGGTAATAATAAAAGATCTAAATTATCCATATGTTGCTTATTGCTTATAATGCTTGGAACAAACATGGGTCATGCTTGTTCAGATAGCACTACTATGGTTTCTGATCAAAAAGAGTGTTTTTCAGATGGCTTCAATAATGCTGTTTGCAAAGTTTCTTCAACTTTAAGAATCTCTGGACCACCAGTTGGTCAAACCACTTGTATAAATATAATGGATAAAGATGATAACACTAATGGATATATATCAATAAAAGTTCTTTCTAATAATTACTATTGTTCTAAAAATGCTTTATATAAAACAGTACAAGCAAAAGTGAACCCCAAAAGTAGTAGTCATTGTCCAGGATCTGGTGCTTGCCCTTCATGGAGGTCCTGCACTTCATTTATGAATTCAAGTGGAATGCAACATGAAATGTTCCCAAATACAATTAACAAATTATCATTATTTGATTGTTTCACTCCTGGTGGATGTGCAGGTAATGGTTGCATGAGATGTGATAATGGTTGCAGTTTTCATAGTGTTGAACTTTTAAATGCTGATGATATTATATATGATGTTTTTGAATGCCCTAATTGGATTCCACATCTATCTATTGAAGTCAAATTCCATAACCTCACTGGTATGAATGACTTTGAGGCAACTTTAATAGGAGCAGAGCCCTATTCAGAAGAAAATCTAAAGTTAACAAAAATTGCTGATTCAACACCAATTAATAATAATGACTTTTGCCTGGTTAGGGATGATAAAGCTATATACTATTCAAGTTGTCAAAAATCCACTGAGCTATTTTCAGGCTCAATTGGTGAAATTCGTTGTCCAACAAATGAAGATGCTTTGGGGTTAACTGATAAATGCTTAATAGCAAAAAATACTGTTAGAATTAAAAGTATAAATTGGGATGCAATTGTAACAAACAATCAAATAAACATAAAGAAAGCTATACAAAGTCAAAGGCTCCCTAGTCTACATGGTTCTGCAATGATAGATAGTTTTCCAGATGGTACTGTGATAATGAAAAACACAGTTGCAGAGACATATGAAATTCAAGTTTCCATTAAGAACCTGGAAATAAGTATTAGGAAAGAAAAAAGTACTTGCTCTGGTGAGCATGAACAATATAAACCACCATTCCCAAGGCTGAGACAATTTAATACAAAAACAATTGAGATACTTATACTATTTTTGAATCATAACGCTACCGCGATTCAAGGAACCACAGGCGACATCTATTGGTTCAACATAAAACTATAATAATTTAAACATACCGCGATTCAAGGAACCACAGGCGACATCTATTTGTTGAACATATAACTATAATTGTTTAAACATACCGCCCACCATCGACGTCGACTTTTGGGACACTCTGTATAAATAAGCCCCCAAAAAATATTTGATTGATGAACTTTTTTAAAGAGTATGGCCACGTAGTAGTTCGTCTACCACCATACATGTGTAACCTCAATCCAATTGAATATATTTGGAATTTGGTCAAGCAAAGGGTAGCCGATAAAAATATCAACCAGTCAGAAAGAGAAAGAAACAAGATGAAAAAATACTACTAATATTAATCATAATGATCTCATTAATTCTGATCACAACTATAATTGTAATGATTTTAAAATTGACCAAAGAAAAGATTCCAAAGATTAAATCTAAAATGCCCAATATGAGGTCATTCAGAGGAAAAATTTTCCCTTCATTTAAACGTAAAAGGGATGAAGATGAAGAAGGAGATCCTGAAGGTTTATTGAAGGAAAGGAGGGAAGGAAATGTGTTGAGTGGCATTCTAGTTAAAAATAGTAATTCCATCCCTTCATTAGAACATGTACCAAAACCATTTATTAGAAGATCAGTTTACTCTTTCAGATTTTATACACCATCACATCATTATGATGGTAATAATAAAAGATCTAAATTATCCATATGTTGCTTATTGCTTATAATGCTTGGAACAAACATGGGTCATGCTTGTTCAGATAGCACTACTATGGTTTCTGATCAAAAAGAGTGTTTTTCAGATGGCTTCAATAATGCTGTTTGCAAAGTTTCTTCAACTTTAAGAATCTCTGGACCACCAGTTGGTCAAACCACTTGTATAAATATAATGGATAAAGATGATAACACTAATGGATATATATCAATAAAAGTTCTTTCTAATAATTACTATTGTTCTAAAAATGCTTTATATAAAACAGTACAAGCAAAAGTGAACCCCAAAAGTAGTAGTCATTGTCCAGGATCTGGTGCTTGCCCTTCATGGAGGTCCTGCACTTCATTTATGAATTCAAGTGGAATGCAACATGAAATGTTCCCAAATACAATTAACAAATTATCATTATTTGATTGTTTCACTCCTGGTGGATGTGCAGGTAATGGTTGCATGAGATGTGATAATGGTTGCAGTTTTCATAGTGTTGAACTTTAAATGCTGATGATATTATATATGATGTTTTTGAATGCCCTAATTGGATTCCACATCTATCTATTGAAGTCAAATTCCATAACCTCCCTGGTATGAATGACTTTGAGGCAACTTTAATAGGAGCAGAGCCCTATTCAGAAGAAAATCTAAAGTTAACAAAAATTGCTGATTCAACACCAATTAATAATAATGACTTTTGCCTGGTTAGGGATGATAAAGCTATATACTATTCAAGTTGTCAAAAATCCACTGAGCTATTTTCAGGCTCAATTGGTGAAATTCGTTGTCCAACAAATGAAGATGCTTTGGGGTTAACTGATAAATGCTTAATAGCAAAAAATACTGTTATAATTAAAAGTATAAATTGGGATGCAATTGTAACAAACAATCAAATAAACATAAAGAAAGCTATACAAAGTCAAAGGCTCCCTAGTCTACAGGGTTCTGCAATGATAGATAGTTTTCCAGATGGTACTGTGATAATGAGAAACACAGTTGCAGAGACATATGAAATTCAAGTTTCCATTAAGAACCTGGAAATAAGTATTAGGAAAGAAAAAAAGTACTTGCTCTGGTGAGCATGAACAATATAAACCACCATTCCCAAGGCTGAGACAATTTGTTACAAAAACAATTGAGATACTTATACTATTTTTGAATCATAACGCTACCGCGATTCAAGGAACCACAGGCGACATCTATTGGTTCAACATAAAACTATAATAATTTAAACATACCGCGATTCAAGGAACCACAGGCGACATCTATTTGTTGAACATATAACTATAATTGTTTAAACATACCGCCCACCATCGACGTCGACTTTTGGGACACTCTGTATAAATAAGCCCCCAAAAAATATTTGATTGATGAACTTTTTAAAGAGTATGGCCACGTAGTAGTTCGTCTACCACCATACATGTGTAACCTCAATCCAATTGAATATATTTGGAATTTGGTCAAGCAAAGGGTAGCCGATAAAAATATCAACCAGTCAGAAAGGGAAATAGAAAAGTTAACAAGAGATGCAATTACCAGCATAAGTGAGAGTGACTGGAAAAAAGAAGTCAACCATGTGGACAGACTTCGACAAAAGTATTGGGATGATGACCTCTTACAAGAGACAAATGAATCGCAAATCATTGTACATTTATCTGATACCTCCGACGTTTATACGCCATGTTTTTGCGTGATCTCAAAAGCTGCTGTTTGCAATCAGTACAACCATCGTCATTTTTAATAACTACCCTTTTAAAAACATGTCATATTTTGGACGTTTTTACGAAAAGTTTTTTTTAGTTAAGTTAGAAGAAACCTTACCATCGACAATTGGTATACCAGTGTGCCGCTGATGAACGATTTGGCCAAGGGTTATAAGATTTCTGTTGTGGGTACCATGCGTAAAAACAAGAAAGAAATACCTGCTTGCTTTCTAGATACAGCAGATTCAGAATCAGCTACACTCGTATAAGTACACTCGCAGCTTGGCTAAAAAGAAAAGATCTGTAGTTCTTAAATCATAACTTCATTGAGCTGCAGAATTGATGAAAGTACACTGGTTAAAGTGCAAAATATCCGTTAGAAAGCCGTTACTTTTTTTTATTTTTATGTGAATGTGCGTTATTTTATTTGCATTTTTTTTAAACTTGGCTTTACGACACTGATTTCTCGCTATCATTTTCAGATTCCTTGTGATGGCGTCTGAAAATAGTGGACAGAACCTGAGCCATCTACAAGTACTATGCTTGGTAGACCGGCTTTTGAGGACGATGGGCCCGTTGTCGATCGTCACCTCTTTACAGATAAGCTGCTGACACTGATGACAGACTGTATAAAATAAAAGATGTACTCAACATGTTTATAAAAAACTATCAAAATGTCTACACACCAGGAGAAAAAGTTTGTGTCGATGAGTCATTAGTCGCTTGGCGCGGTAGACTTATCTTCCGCCAATACATTCCAAATAAAATAGCCAAATATGGAATTAAAGTGTTCAAACTGTGTACTGAGAAAGGCTACACATGGAACCTAATTGTTTATTGCGGTAAATCAAAGGAACCTAAAGTCTCAGGAATGGTAGTACTATCTTTGGCAGAGGGTCTTTTCAATGAGGGCAGGACCATGTACACAGATAACTATTACACACGTGTTCCACTTGCACTGCGAATGCGTAAAAGAAAGACACATTTAGTAAGGACCTTGAGAAGTAATAGAAAATACTAACCTAAAGAAGTTACCAACACCAAACTGCAAGCATTTTACCTCAGAAAACCGTAAGTGCAACTTTCAAAAATCATGTCTTCATCCGCCACCACCGCCTTGGCCAAGCTCAACACTCGGCAAAAAAACATGGGTCAAATTGGGTGACCTAGAGCTGAACAAGCCAAACAAAAGAGTCGAGGTGAAAAGGCTCCCCTTTAAAGTTTCACGCATCCAGGATGCAAACCATAGTGCACCTGGAAAATGGGTTCACTCTTACACTACCTAATCGCTTCGATGACCTCAGTGAAGATATGTTTAAATACATTCAGACGGAGGAGCCCTATTTAAGGGCCAAGCAGCAGGTCATGGACAGTACACTTTGAGGAGGAGGAGCCCACCCTCACCCCCGAATAATCAAACCCCAACACAGTCCAGCCTGAGCTCACCCCAACCATCCAGCAAGAGAAAATAACTAAATATCGTATTGGCATAGTCTGTAAGAATAATGTATGTATTTCTGTAATAAATAAATAAATAACTTACAGACACACACACACACATCGAAGATGCAATAAATAAATCAGCATGTCTTTTTTAATTGCAGTGTGTGTAATTGAGATGAACAATAACCTAGTGAACTTATACGACATAATGCTAAATGAGAGCAAGCAAGAGTGGATTCAGTATATATCGATCAACAGACTGTTGAACTTGTGGACACATGATGTACCACTAATAAAACTACATGGAGATGTAAACTTAATACTCACGCAATTATACCAAGCTAGCAAATTTGGTGATATAGAAGTGTACGCGGTGATCCAGCTTTGGGATCTTATTGCAGCGCATCAGGAAGACAATTTAGGTAATATAAATGTGGATGTGATCGAATGGATTCAGCATTTGAATGAAACCACAAGCGAGTGTTTCACACAAAACTTCACGGAACGAGTAGGTAACCTACTGATAAACACATTATTAGGGTGTTTAAGTGAAGGGATAGAGGTTTAATCTTTTTTGTGTAGGTAATAACGGATTTCACTAATGCTCGATATTTGATTGATATAAAGGATGTCCTAACTAGAACGCAATTTTTAAATTTGGCGCCATTCGAAGTGTCATTGTTTGACATTTCAACAATTGTTATTGTTTGCTAGTAGAAGGTACGAGGTTAGTAAAAATGGAGCGCTACACGAATGAACAACGCATTCTCATTATGAAATTGTTTTACCAAAATGGTGAAAGTTTTACGGCTACAGTTCGCAAATTGCGATCAATTTGGGGTCACAATAATGCTCCAAAAGAGTCAACTGTAGAGATTACTGGATAAATTTGGCGAAACTGGATCGGTTAGTGATGTAAAGACAACAACGCGCCTTCGACCAGGTTGATCGACCGAAAATGTCGCAGCTGTACGTGATGATGTCGCTCAAACTCCATCCACCTCAATTCGACACCGAGCTCAGCAAATTAGTGTCTCGAAATCCACTATGCAGCGAATTGGTATTGGCTCTTAATGAAAGGTTTGATAGTTTGGAAAATGATGAAATATATTGCATAGCCACAACGCTTGATCCTCGTTACAAAACACGAACATTTCAATTACAGTCTACTATTTTAACGGTAAAAAAGTAAAAACTTGTTGAGTTATTTAACCTTAATGAAGCTCTTCATTCCGAAACTGTACAAGTTCCGAGATCCCTACTAGTGGTGGGCTTTGGAGCATTTGTGAAAATATTATTAAAGCGGCCGAGGAGGATGAGCCCCTATCCACTCTGAGCTGTAATGATCTCAAAGAGGAAGTCGAGAAATACCTGTGGTCTCCTAATATATCGAGAGACGCAGATCCGTTTGTTTTCTGGCACAATGACATATTATACCCAAACTTGAAAAAACTGGCGCAGAAGTAGTTCAGCTTTCAAATGAGTTCAGTCGCATCTGAGAGATTATTTTCGCAGGTCTTATACAGACAGACTTGCGTACTAGACTTTCTCCCCAAAACATGAGAATGCTCTGTTTTTTAAACAAAAATCTTATCAATGTTAATTTTAATTGTTACGTTATTTACAAGTCTTTTACTGTGGGTGATTGTGTTCTCAATTCAACGAGATGAGGATAGGGTATACTCAACTTTTGAAAAGAACATTTCACAATCTATAGATGTCGATTTACGTGATTTCTGTGTGAGTAATAACTTAAGTTTGAAGAAAGTTAAGTTACTAAATCTTAATGGAGATCATTTTGTAAGAAATTTTATAAGATAATTACAATAACACAGATTTTTTTTCTGATCATTTAAATGAATATTTGTGGCGGCGAAACAATAATAAATACAAAAAAGACCTCTTTGGAGCTACTTAAAACAATTAAATATGTCTATAAATTAAACACTTAGCTGACACTTAGTTTTTAGGGCCATGTTAACACTGTCTGTCGAAAAATATTTGCAGAATTGGTGTTGGAAATTTGAATTTTCCTAATTCATTCAAACTAGACTTCATGAAAATTTGAATAACGACTATATAGAGTCGGACGAGGAATTGACAGACATGGAGGAGGAAGAGATTACTACAGAAGAGGGTTACGTCTCTATGCTCGCAAATCTTGCGCAAGCTCATTCCTTAGTACAGAGTACAGGAAAAATCTCACAAACTATTTCCTTAAAGGACGTTAAACAATAGATATTCGGTAGGCAAAAGCTAGTCTTCTAGGATCTTGTGTCTTTTCGTTTTGCAGACTGTTCGGTGGTAAACGCCTCAGTTTTGCTTATACAATTTTAATTATTGGTGTTGGAAATTTGAATTTCCCTTATTCATTCAAACTAGACTTCATGAAAATTTGAATAACGACTATATAGAGTCAGACGAGGAATTGACAGATATGGAGGAGGAAGACATTACTACAGAAGAGGGTTACGTCTCTATGCTCGCAAATCTTGCGCAAGCTCATTCCTTAGTACAGAGTACTGGAAAAATCTCACAAACTATTTCCTTAAAGGACGTTAAACAATAGATATTCGTTAGGCAAAAGCTAGTCTTCTAGGATCTTTGGATCTTGTGTCTTTTCGTTTTGAAGACAGTTCGGTGGTAAACGGCTTAGTTTTGCTTACACAGTTTTAATTGGTGTTGGAAATTTGAATTTTCCTAATTCATTCAAACTAGACTTCATGAAAATTTGAATAACGACTATATAGAGTCGGACGAGGAATTGACAGACATGGAGGAGGAAGAGATTACTACAGAAGAGGGTTACGTCTCTATGCTCGCAAATCTTGCGCAAGCATTCCTTAGTACAGAGTACTGGAAAAATCTCACAAACTATTTCCTTAAAGGACGTTAAACAATAGATATTCGGTAGGCAAAAGCTAGTCTTCTAGGATCTTTGGATCTTGTGTCTTTTCGTTTTGAAGACAGTTCGGTGGTAAACGGGTTAGTTTTGCTTACACAGTTTTAATTGGTGTTGGAAATTTGAATTTTCCTAATTCATTCAAACTAGACTTCATGAAAATTTGAATAACGACTATATAGAGTCGGACGAGGAATTGACAGACATGGAGGAGGAAGAGATTACTACAGAAGAGGGTTACGTCTCTATGCTCGCAAATCTTGCGCAAGCTCATTCCTTAGTACAGAGTACTGGAAAAATTTCACAAACTATTTCCTTAAAGGACGTTAAAAAATAGATATTCGGTAGGCAAAAGCTAGTCTTCTAGGATCTTGTGTCTTTTCGTTTTGCAGACAGTTCGGTGGTAAACGGCTTAGTTTTGCTTATACAATTTTAATTGGTGTTGGAAATTTGAAATGAAAATTTGAATAACGACTATAGAGTCGAACGAGGAATGGACAGACATGGAGGAGGAAGAGATTACTACAGAAGAGGGTTACGTCTCATGCTCGCTAATCTTGCGCAAACTCATTCCTTAGTACAGAGTACTGGAAAAATCTCACAAACTATTTCCTTAAAGGACGTTAAAAAATAGATATTCGGTATGCAAAAGCTAGTCTTCTAGGATCTTGTGTCTTTTCGTTTTGCAGACAGTTCGGTGGTAAACGGCTTAGTTTTGCTTATACAATTTTAATTATTGGTGTTGGAAATTTGAATTTCCCTAAATCATTCAAACTAGACTTCATGAAAATTTGAATAACGACTATATAGAGTCGGACGAGGAATTGACAGACATGGAGGAGGAAGAGATTACTACAGAAGAGGGTTACGTCTCTATGCTCGCAAATCTTGCGCAAGCTCATTCCTTAGTTCAGAGTACTGGAAAAATCTCACAAACTATTTACTTAAAGGACGTTAAAAAATAGATATTCGGTAGGCAAAAGCTAGTCTTCTAGGATCTTGTGTCTTTTCGTTTTGCAGACAGTTCGGTGGTAAACGGCTTAGTTTTGCTTATACAATTTTAATTGGTGTTGGAAATTTGAAATGAAAATTTGAATAACGACTATATAGAGTCGAACGAGGAATTGACAGACATGGAGGAGGAAGAGATTACTACAGAAGAGGGTTACGTCTCATGCTCGCTAATCTTGCGCAAACTCATTCCTTAGTACAGAGTACTGGAAAAATCTCACAAACTATTTCCTTAAAGGACGTTAAAAAATAGATATTCGGTATGCAAAAGCTAGTCTTCTAGGATCTTGTGTCTTTTCGTTTTGCAGACAGTTCGGTGGTAAACGGCTTAGTTTTGCTTATACAATTTTAATTATTGGTGTTGGAAATTTGAATTTCCCTAATTCATTCAAACTAGACTTCATGAAAATTTGAATAACGACTATATAGAGTCGGACGAGGAATTGACAGACATGGAGGAGGAAGAGATTACTACAGAAGAGGGTTACGTCTCTATGCTCGCAAATCTTGCGCAAGCTCATTCCTTAGTACAGAGTACTGGAAAAATCTCACAAACTATTTCCTTAAAGGACGTTAAAAAATAGATATTCGGTAGGCAAAAGCTAGTCTTCTAGGATCTTGTGTCTTTTCGTTTTGCAGACAGTTCGGTGGTAAACGGCTTAGTTTTGCTTATACAATTTTAATTATTGGTGTTGGAAATTTGAATTTCCCTAATTCATTCAAACTAGACTTCATGAAAATTTGAATAACGACTATATAGAGTCGGACGAGGAATTGACAGACATGGAGGAGGAAGAGATTACTACAGAAGAGGGTTACGTCTCTATGCTCGCAAATCTTGCGCAAGCTCATTCCTTAGTACAGAGTACTGGAAAAATCTCACAAACTATTTCCTTAAAGGACGTTAAAAAATAGATATTCGGTAGGCAAAAGCTAGTCTTCTAGGATCTTGTGTCTTTTCGTTTTGCAGACAGTTCGGTGGTAAACGGCTTAGTTTTGCTTATACAATTTTAATTGATGTTGGAAATTTGAAATGAAAATTTGAATAACGACTATATAGAGTCGAACGAGGAATTGACAGACATGGAGGAGGAAGAGATTACTACAGAAGAGGGTTACGTCTCATGCTCGCTAATCTTACGCAAACTCATTCCTTAGTACAGAGTACTGGAAAAATCTCACAAACTATTTCCTTAAAGGACGTTAAAAAATAGATATTCGGTATGCAAAAGCTAGTCTTCTAGGATCTTGTGTCTTTTCGTTTTGCAGACAGTTCGGTGGTAAACGGCTTAGTTTTGCTTATACAATTTTAATTATTGGTGTTGGAAATTTGAATTTCCCTAATTCATTCAAACTAGACTTCATGAAAATTTGAATAACGACTATATAGAGTCGGACGAGGAATTGACAGACATGGAGGAGAAAGAGATTATGACAGAAGAGGGTTACGTCTCTGCTCGCAAATCTTGCGCAAGCTCATTCCTTAGTACAGAGTACTGGAAAAATCTCACAAACTATTTCCTTAAAGGACGTTAAACAATAGATATTCGGTAGGCACAAGCTAGTCTTCTAGGATCTTGTGTCTTTTCGTTTTGCAGACAGTTCGGTGGTAAACGGCTTAGTTTTGCTTATACAATTTTAATTGGTGTTGGCAGCACTTCTTCGTAAACGAAGCGCATAAACTTTTTTGCTTGCGATTTGTTTGAGCGCGCTGGTAGAGCGTAGATACCGGGTTCTGATACAAAATGCGTCTCTGGGTGCCAGTTCGGTGGCGTTTCAAGATGGGCCGTGATCGGGCCCAACTTGTTCCATGAACATTTCCATTCATCTGGAACAATTCTATAAGCTTTTTTAACATTCTCATAGCCCAAAAGCAATGCAAACTCCTTTAGTTTACAATAAATATTATTGTCCTTGGTGACGTATGCCCAACATTTGAAATCACTGTCCTCGTTGCCAAGTTTGGCAAACGGAAAATTTAAACGTTGCAAAGACATGATGCTCTCTTATAACACAGCATTTTTTTCTATTTTACAGGTATATGCCAATGAAAGCACCTGAATGAATAATATGTTCACTTAAAAATAAACATCTAAAATGTTCGAGTTTGACAATGACTGATAGAGACTTTAATGCTCATCACACCTCTTGGGGTTGTGGCTCAGACTCAATACGTGATTGTCATGTTTTGGATGTTATTGAGGATAATAATTTAGTTCTGCTTAATAACGGTCAAGCAACAACAGTTGCATCTTTAACTTGGAGTCCTAATGCCCTGGTTTCTTCATCCTTAGCACTTAGTTGTGAATGGGGTTTGCACGATAGCCCTCTTGGTTATCACATTCCTGTAATCATAAGAGTAAATGTTAGTGTTAAACCTCTTCCAGCCAGTAATGCAGGATATTGTTTTACAGAAGAGAACAAGATTTTGTAAATATATTATATTTGCACACTGGTAATAAACAAGTTTTGTGACAATCCTTAATAGCTTCCAAACAATAGAATGCCCCCTTACTAGATTAGATTTAATTAATTTAGACAAGTTACTATAACAAATATGACCAAATCGATATTAGCTGCATTCCTTTATATTAAGGTTAAAGCTTATTTCATACAAGTTATTTCTTTGTCCAAAACATATTAATTTGTTCATACTATAAATAAAAACTTTACCATTATTAAAATCAATCTTGTTTCCACATGTTTCTATTTTCTTTGTTTGTTGTAAGTTTGGAACTAAAAATACATTTTTTAGAACACCATTTACAGACTGACCATTAACTTTACTTCAACATTTATATTTCCTACTCCAATTGCTTTCATATAGTTATTATTCTTTGCTACAGCTATGTTAATAGGATTTTTCAGATACATAAATTCAATAAAATATGTAATATCATTCACCATAATATGGTTAGTGCAACCTGAATCCACATAAAATAAAAGAGAATCACTACTCACAGACTTATTGCTTGAGTTCTCATTACATGTGTACGCCGCTTCTGTCATGAAACTAAAAGAGTTCCCTTTGGGTTGTTGAATTGCCTCATATTTCCATGTAGTTAGCTCGCCTCATATTTCCCTATTGTTGTTTCCATACTCTTCTCTAAATGTACCATTGTATCCTCTGGATGGTGTAAAACATCCTCTTAAGGAAATGCTTGTTGATTGATTAGATGGACGTCTTGAGAACTTATTACCATTTCCTTGTAGATGTCGACAATTCTTATATAAATGTCCTGGTTTCCCACAATAGTAAAATAACTTTGTAGTATTATTATTTGCCAATGCAGATGGAATATTATTACTTGTACTTCTTAGATCTGTTTCTTTCAACTTCTGATCTCAATCTTGTTTTCGCTATATCTACAGTTAGTTCCTTTGAAGGCATACTTTCTAATATTGTGGTAACTGTTTCCAAACTTTTTGGCATTGCCAATAATAAACAGCAAATACTTTCTTGGTTTGTCCACTCCACACCACATGCATTTACTTTTCTTATATTTTCTTCAAATTCTAGTGAAAAAGTTTCAAGGTTATTTTCACCATGTAGTTTCATAGTCATAATTATTTTTCTTGGTAGTAATTGACTTGGCCTCTCTTCTATAGTGTCCCACATTAAATAAGCAGTGTTTTTATTTCTAATTATATCATATCCAACAGGGAATCGTGGACGCATTGAATAATATACGACTTACATTTTTTATCTTTCATTGCATTGTGACTCTCACTTATTTTCTTCTGAAATGTTACATCTATACATTCTAAACAATCCTTTTCTTCTAATAATGTAAGGATTCGAAACTTCCATGTATGATAATTGTCACCATTTAACAATTCATTATTCAATATTGAAATTTGAAAGAGTATTTGGGCGTTGGCCGTTGGCACTTGGCTCACTTGGCGTCCATTTTGTCCTTTTATAATTATTTTCAGTGTGAATTTTCAGTGTGACCGTTTTAAAAAATGGGGATCAACTAAAACTACAAGGTGCCAGTACTAAATAATACTAAAACACATGCTGAATTATACTAAAACAAAAAGTGAAAGAGAATTTTTTTATTAAATTAATAAATTAATTTAAAACACTTATAGTCAGTTACTTTTTAGTTTTACCAAATATAAATACACACCTTCATTATACAAACATATTAAAATAATAATAAATATTTACAATAAGTTACAAACAAACACAACTACAAATAGTATTCAATTGAGCAGATTTAGTGCGTTTGCAGAAAAACCCTTTGCGATTTCCGAATCATAAAACATTTTGCTGAATAAATCGCTGAGATGATCCATGGCCCAAGATGGTAAGTTGTGTTCTGCCAACGCTGCATAATATATAAGCTCTGCTTTTCTTTGAAATAATTTATCATCGATCTGAAAATAAACAGGATTTGATTAATTTTCCTATCGTAAAAATAAGTAAAACAACTACCTATTTCTTATGGGAAAGTAGTGTCTCATACATTTGAAAATTAATATTCTTGATAAAAATATTACATATGCTTGAACCCTGCAAAGCTATCTTTCCATCCCACAGAGTCAGTTCGGCATGTATGCATACTACATTACCTCATTTATGAAAATTTTAAAATTCAGCTTGAAATCACTTGAGAATCGATTATACATGTGTGTACAACTGTACATGTACACTGTCCAAGATCCATCCATGTGGCATAAAAAAATAAGGGACACAATAATCTTATAAATAATATTATGTAAATGGCGGCATAGCTTTCTTACCTTGGATTGTCCACTATAATGTATAAGTTTCTGCCGATGTTTTTCCGAATCCGCATGACTTTTAATTGTTGCGATTCTGCTTAAAAATGTTGCTCCACAAGTTTTACACAAGGCGTTCTCACTATTTTTCTTTTTTGTCAACCAAGACGAAAATTCAGGATTTTGTTCCCACTCAGATCTATATTTCTGATCGTATTTGCGCTTCATTATCATCACTACACACGCACAATAACATAGAGAGACATAAATAAAGAACACAAAAATCCGTGGTCCCTTTAATACTTAAAGCTAGGAATCAATTTTTAAGTTTCAGTAAATTCCCCGCGACGTACATCATGTAACGTAGATAGGTAGCTAAAGCACGACTCGCGGTTTTTTTAGCATTAACCGTTCGAAAGAGACAAAATGATTCAGTTGCGGTAAACATCAGACAAAGACAAAATCATGTGAACGAATCGAAATGACTGTTGCCCGCCCAGCCCAAAAATGTATAAATAATGTATTTTTTAAAATGTTGATAGTTTAAAAATGTACCAAAAAATACCAGAATATGAAAGGATACCAAAAAATACTAAATTAGGTTGACGGAGCCCAATTATACCGATTTGGTACAGAATATACTAAAAACGGTCACACTGCAACTGGGCCCATAAATTATTATTGCGCTACATAGACCACAGATTAAACAAATCATGAGATAAGCATTAGCAATTTGAGCCTTAAGTTGAGTTTGGTTTAAGTTGGGTTTAGGCACTGGTTTATTGACATTAATTACTATTTTTACATTTTTATTTAATTTATGTACATTTTGGCTTATTTATGGTAGGGTCCTAACAATGCTGCTGGACTGTGCAGGTGAAGACGGAAAATCAAATTAATTAATAATTAACAAAATGTACAATTATTTACACTGACTAAAATAAGTTTTGGTAATATTTACACAAGATATTTGAACGAAAAACTGTAAAGATCATTCAATCGATCGCCACATTTGGAGTTCCCGCCAAAAGTCCCACAGATTATTATTGCGCTACATAAACCACAGATTAAATAAATCATAAGCATTACTTTACAACAAAATCCATAAATTAAACAATTATAGTAGACTGTAGAATTCAATTAAAAATTATTTATATTTCCAGCCTCGAGGCTCGAGGTGCTCGTTTCAAATTCGATGTTAAGGTAAATCCAAAAGTTTGTCCGTTCAATCTAATTAGTCAATCCGGGGAGTACAATCCTTTTAAATGTCTTGAAGTTTGAACCGTATTAGAAATAAATTCATAAATGATATCATGCATATCATGGTTCATAAGCAAGTCTTGAATTCAGCACGGGATATTTTCAGGTCTTCTATGATAGTTTAACAAATTAGATGATAAACAAAGGCCTTGGATATGGAATTCAAGGCATTCGAAGAATATGTGGTCTAAAGTTTGATCGACGTGGTATCGTGGATGCGGTGTAAATGTGAATTAAATCTGCTATGTCCGAATCTAAGACGGCAAAGTATTGTGTAAAATCTTCTGGTTTTGTAATTGCTGGATTTACAACACCATGGCATTCCAATATCTTGGTTGATTGCAGCATACCAAGTGCCCCTTCTCGCTAAACTTTCTTGCCAAACATCTTTTCAATTCTGATTAAGTTTTGAATTTAGAAGTGGTAGTAAATCATTGTACGGAATGTTAACTTTGTCAACAGCGCTGCTGCTGTCACTGACAACAATCGCATATGCAAGGAAATCCACATGCTCCTTGCCTGAGACTTCTATATGCGAGGGCGGCCATAATAATTCCACACTGTAATTTCATAAAGTTAGTATTTGATTTCGGGGATAATGTAGCTTGACTTAGCACTGAATTGATGATTCTGTAGAGCTTTTAGAACACTCATGCTGTCTGTGATGATTAACCAAAATCTTTCAGAACGATCTTCAATGAATCTTAATGCAGCAACAATAGCAAGAGCTTCTGCAGAAAATATGCTCAAATTTTCCTTTAATTTAGTACCTTGCCTAAACTTCAAACTTGGAATATAGAATGACATTGAAATCCTAACCTTCTTTTTACAGCCATCTGTGTAAATATGATTATAATTGTGATATTGAGATATAAGATTATAGACTTCATGTCGATCTCTCAGTTTATTGTCTATAACTATGCTGATGTGATGCATAATACTTTCATAGCTCTTAGTATAGCCAACCCAGTTATCTGATTTAAAGGTGCTGTGCTGATTGATCAGATTTAACAAGGGAGCTCATGCAAAAAAAGGGATGATTGCTTGAGAGAGGGGAATTCACAGGGTAACTACTGTTCAGATGGATAAGTTTGTTAAGCAAGTGATTATGTCTAGAAAGTTAGTTTTTAGATATTGAAACCTTAAGAATAGTTGAGGAGTGTTGAAATTATGGGAGTTGTTCTCATTGCCCCAGTAATGAGTCTCATGATTTTGAATGATGTCTAATTTGTGAAGAAATTGGTTATTTGAAGCAAAACAAAAGAAACTGTATTCGAAGTGACTACAAACCAGAGATTTGTATAGTGTTAAAAGAATTTTAGGATCAAAACCCTATGTTCCAGCAAGAGACATCAAAATATTCAGCGCCTTTATAGCTCTGTCAGTTACACAATCAACATATTTACCCCTGGATAAATTGTTAACACCCAAGAACTTAGAAAAAGGAGGGCTGCAATTACCCGGACTGTGAAGGCTTACAATAGTTAATTCCTTGCAATTTGAATATTTAATTCTAATAGCTATATTTTGAAGGGAATTATCGTTAACAGTATTAACATTAGAGTAAGAGATAGATCTATGTACAAGTATGGCTACACCATTGTGAGAGTTTCCTCAGTCTAGTCTTACTACATTGTAATTAAGCAATTTAAATTTATAATAAGCCAAGTCTCGCAAATAATGGACACATGAACATTGTGATCCAAAAGAAAATGGTTGAAAATATAATATATATAATTGTGCAATATACTCTAAGCATTCCACTGAACTATATTTAAAGTATCCATTAGGATATAATTGAAGATTTCTTAGTACAATGCTTTTTGAAGGAATCTTTTAGAACATCTTTTATAGTTTCGGAGCAATTTTTAATCATTGGTCCTGTTGAGGGTGATTAATTTAACAAGTGATTCAGTAATGGTTTTTTTTAATAGAGCGCATTGTGCAATCAGTCTTCTGACTATGAGCAGATGAGTTGTATAGGATGATCAGTAATGGTTTTAACAATTAATTCTGAATTAGGTAATGAAAGAAATTGGTCTGTTTTACTATGTGAGGGAAAATTTGTGTGATTAAGGGCTTGTGCATAACTTTTATTTTGAAATTTATCTTTATTTAGCAGAATTATTTATTTTTTGACTGGGCAATTAGAAGATATTGAAATGTGGTTGCCACAATGGCAACAAGAGGCATCTTTGGTGTTGACATTGCAAGATTTAAAGTTGTGACCTTCTCTACAGATTTCTCTTTTCGGCGTTTTTACAAAATTTGCCAATGTGACCATATCCCAAGCAATTGAGGCATTGTTTTACCTCCAGTATGTACGCACGAACTTCAAATCTCCAACTATTAAGGTCAACACTCTCTGGTAAAATTGGGCAAGAAAATGTAATGGACACAGTTTTTGTAGGTTCAAATTTTATAGTGCTGTTCTCGGTAGTCCGTCTGATCGAGACTATATTTTTTGTTCTGGTCAAGGCGCTATACATCTCTTTGTTTGAAAGGTCTATCGGCACGTGACTAATGACGCCAGTTGTTTCTGTGCTCTCTGGTATGCTAGCATAGAATTTGTGGCCATCCAGGAACTTTTTATTATTTAGAGCTGCATTAGCCAAAGTCTCTCAAATATCACTCCTACTTTAGCTTTGTTAATTCTTTTGTTTCACGCCTTTATTGTCACGTTTGATTGCG